CCCTCCATCTAAAGGAGGGATGGTCGTCCCCATACAAACACCAGCAATGGAAGGCCCTCATAGATAGAGGGCCTGGGAGCGATACTTTTGGAAATCTTCCCATGACTTCGAGCCTGAAAAAAAAATTTTTTATAAATACAACTATCTACCTAGGTAATACTTACAAAAAATCTACTGTAAAAAAACAATAAAAGCAAATAATGTAATAAATAAAGTACAAGTGAGCTCAACAACTTATTTATTTTACTCACTAATACTTGACTTATTACATCAACTAATTAAACTGGAAAGCACATTTGTAGCTATATTCAAAAACAAAAGGTACAATAAAAGCAATCAATCAATGTAATAAGTCAAGTAAAGGTGAATATAACAACTTACTTGTAACAGAAGAAGCAGCTAGAGATAAATAAAAGAAAGTTAAAAATGCAATAAAACCAATCAATCCATAAATTAAGTCAAGTATAAGTAAACAGAACAACTTACTTGTAACATAAGAAGCAGCAGCTAGAGATAAATAAAAGAAAATTAAAAATGCAATAAAAACAATCAATCAATGTAATAAGTTAAGTAAAAAGGACTTACTTATAACAGAAGAAGCAGCTAGAGAGAAATAAAAGAAAGTTAAAAATGCAATAAAACCTATTAATCAATAAATTAAGGTAATTATAAGTGAATAGAACAACTTACTTGTAACAGAAGAAGCAGCAGCTAGAGATAAATAAAAGAAAGTTAAAAATGCAATAAAACCAATCAATCAATATAATAAGTTAAGTAAAGTGACTTACTTATAACAGAAGAAGCAGCAAGAGATAATGAATAGATCTGGTTTACCAAATTTCTTTATGACTGCCATCGCATCTTCAAAGTTTTCTTTTAATGCTCGTGGACTACCAACATATGAAGAAGGCAATATAACAACACGGCCTGGTCTTACATTAAGATCATTAGCACGATTAATTACATGTTCATGCAATGCATCATATTGCTCACGACGACGATTTATCTCAGCTCGCCGGAGCTCATATCTTTCAATTCGACGACGATTTATCTCAGCTCGCCGGGGCTCATCTCTTTCAATTCGACGACGATTTATCTCAGCTCGCATGGGCTCATCTCTTTCATTTCGACGGCGGTTTATCTCAGCTCGCCTAGCCTGCCTTCTTTCATTTTGAAGAAGTCTAATAATTTCATTTCTTAAATTATTAGACATAATTAGGCATCAAAGGAGTGTGTGAAAATGAGATAATATAATAATATAATATTATAAAAGTTGAAGTTTCTCTTTTAAACTTATCTAAAAGAAAGTGTAAGCAAATAATACATAGCATAATCTATTATATCTATTATATTCTACCATATATTGCATTGTGTTAAGATAACATAGTTTTAGTATAAACTTAAACTAAAGTTATAAATTAATATAATATTTTTAACTAAGTATTGTTTATATATTTATGGTAGTTGTTATTAATTATTGACAAAATATTATAAGTATGTAATCAAAAAAAACAAACAAAAAAAAAAATGTAATTTTAAAAACAAATTTTTTACATGTAAGAACTCATAAATTAAGCAAATTTAAAAAATTTAAGGCCTTTCAACTCAGCAAGTACTGCTAGCATGGAAGAATAAAATGTAATCATCCATCAACAAAACCCTTTCATTACTTTGAAAGGCATTTAACGCAAGATTTGCAATAAATAAATACAAAACTACTAAAAGAACCTCTATAAACAATCATATATTTGCTTCAAGTGAAGAAACTTTGAAATATTGAAACTTCTTTTACTATTTTAATTTTTTTTTAGATATTTAATATTCTGAAGAAAAAGGGACAATAATTTAAGGCAAAAAAATTAAAATGTCTACACATATAATATATGTATAGACATTTTAATTCTATATATTTTATTGTGTGTGTATATATTTTAATTCTATATATTTTATATACATATATACAATATATGTATATATATATATATATATATATATATATGTATATACACATATATATATATATATACATATATATATGTTTATATACATACATATATATATATATACATATATATATATGTATACATATATATATATATATATATATACATATATATACATTCTCTATACAAAAAATCCTAAAAATTTAACAAAAGTTATTAAAACTTATGCTTCAACACGCTGTATACTTACTTTTATATATATATAAAAAATTTGTGTTAAACATATTTAATGAAGAAAATCGAAACTCTTTAAAGTTTTAATGAGGAGGAGCTGTTAGTAAAGCCTGCTTTTTAACAAAATTTATTGTCAAAAGCATACATTGTTAAGAACAGAGGATAACAACATTAAAACACATTTTTCAACAATATTTTTTCAACACATTTTAGAAATACACCAATTACAAACAGAATTAATTTATGTGTTTTATTATGACAATACACCACTCTGCTGGCGAGGACAATATTTTTGCTCTCAACAAAGCCAGGTCACATAGCAAAGTACACCACTTGGCTAGCAAGGTCAACAATCTTGCTGTAAACTAAGCCCAGTCACAACAATTTGAAACCATGCAAACAACATAATTATCACTTACAAACTATAAACATATTACATATAACACACCACCAACATTGAAACATTACATATATTTACACACCTACAAAATATAAACCCATATAACCTTAACACATATATACACAATAAAACACAATATAAATTACACACATATATAGACAAATATATAAATTAAGAAAAATATATAAATTTGAAACTTTACAAATACAACCTTATTTTTGTTTTTTGATATACCTCGTTATAAATGTTTAACAACTTTCAAAAACAAACTTTCAAACAATCTGGTTTTTTTACGGATTTTTATAACTTCTTTTAAATAAGGTATTAAACGATCTTGTTCTTTAACATGTAACATTGAGTTGACCGTGTGAGATGCAAGTGTTTTAAACACTAACTTTATCAAGAGTTTGACCTCTTGACCTTTGAAAAGAGCAACGTCTTCTTGAGTCGTCTTTTAATTTAAAAATTACAGATTAATTTTATAAATTAATAAATTTAAATACATTTGACAAAAGACTAAAATGCATGATTTAAATAAATCACCTGACTTTAAAAGTTACTTTACTAATTCAATAATAACATAATATTCATTCTTTACTACAGAAGTTATCAAATAAAAACTGTTGATCTTATCACTAATTAAGCTGATGAAACAAAGTTTTTGATCTCATTACTGATTAAGCAGATACTGACAGATTATTAAGATTTGAAAGAGCCTCATTACGCGAGTTCAGAAGTAAAGCAATTTATAATACAACTCAAAGGCCAAGTATGGTAAAAAAGTCCGTGTAAAGGTGCACGAATGGTGAGCAGCAGCGTTAAGTTAAGTATTAATTATAAGCGATAAGTATGCAAAATACTTATCACATTTATTAACATTAGAAATATAACACTTAAACTTAACATTGCATCTAATGTGGGCAACGAAGTTCAAAAAAAAAACTTTATTCTATTGAAAAGACTAAATCTCTCTTTAGTTTAAATTGTACACGTTTTTATACTACAACTTTGAAAAGTTTAAAAAGTATTTCATCGGGACGATTACAATGTTTTGCTTTTAAATTTTTTTTGGTAAAATTTTGAATTAAAACAATGCAAATGTTTAAAATTGGGAAAAAACAGAAAACAAACTTGAAGATATTCAATATATACTTCATAAATAAAAGGAATGGTGGTGCCTAATAGTTGTAATAGTCACTATGGACCACTAGGCTACCACCATTCCACCTTCTCCCTCTGCTTCCTCTTTCATTTTTCCATCTCTGCCACCTGCCACGACCTCTGTCACATCTCCTTCTGCTGCAGTTCCCAGCACCCAAGTTAGGAGGATTATAGGACCATTTGAAGGAATTATTGTATTTTCCTCCTAACTGGACCCATCGCTACACAAACAAATAAATACATCGTAAACAAATAATATACAACAACTTTTCAAAAATTAATTATTTTTTAAATAATGTGAAAAAATGTACTAAATAATATAAACCTAAAAAATATCAATTAATTTAAAAAACTCATACATACCTTTTTAAGACAAGTAACGATTACAAGAAACTGATATATTCAACCTCAGTAATGCAAATATAATTTTTAAGAACTTTAAACATAAGGTATAATAACATAAAATCAAATAACTATTAATAAAGTCAAACAAACATTTTTAAAAAACTAATACAAGAAGAGTAAATAAGTTTGCAAAATACTCTTCACATTTATCAACATTTGAAATAATATATATGCAGGGGTGGGACCGCAAAATGTGAACGTTTTTGTTTTTTTATAACTATTTTCTCGTTAGATGTAGTTGTACTCTCTCACTCATCAGAAAGTGTCTAAAGAGTTGTTAAATATGAACTATTTTAAATAAGAATGTCCAACCATTGGACATTCTTATTTAAAATAGTTCATATTTAACAGAAAATTAATTATTACAATCAGAAAAGTGTTCACATTTTGCGGTCCCACCCCTGTAAATTTAATATTACATTTAACGTGGGCTACAGAGTCTTAAAAAAAAACCTAATTCTATTGAAAGGTCCACATCTATCTATAGAGTAAACTTTACAAGTTTATATATTACAACTTTTGTAAAAAGTATTTCATTGGGACTATTACTATGTTTTGCTGTTAAGTTTTTTTGGGAAAAATTTGAAAAAATATAATGCAAATGTTGATTATTGTATAAATTGGGAAAAAACGGAAAACAAACTTGCTGAAATTAAATTTATATTAAAAAAAAAAAGGAATGGTGGTGCCTAATAATTGTAATAATCTCCATGAACCACTAGGCTGCCACCATTCCATCTTCTCCCTCTGCTTCCTCCTCTTCCACGACCACCTCCCCTTCTGCTGCGGCTCCCAGCACCCTGGTTAGGATGATAGGGCCATTTAAAAGAGTTATTGTCCCTTCCTCCTAACCGGACCCATTGCTTAATTGAATTATTGCTGGTGGGTCCAGGATGCTGGGACCTATATAATAGGTAGTCTTGATAGGTTAGCTCTAAATGACAATGATTCATTAATAGATTAGTACTGAATAGCATTATGTAAAATTTAATATAAAACAATTAATTGCAAAAGTGATAGGCTGAATAAATAATATGAACAACATATTAATCAATGATAACTTAAACAATATTAATGAGAGTATTAATTTCATTCAACTGCACTTTAAGGGATAACACAATACTTATGCATTAAATAGTGTATATAAATATAAACATAAATTCAATATTCATTAAGAAACATTTTTAAATCATAAATTTACCAGCAGAAGGTTGAACACATGGAACTAAAGATAAAAAAAGTTTCTATTAAAATTTGCAATTGATAACAATGGTGTGCAAATGTTTGCAAATAATAGTTCTTAAACTTACTAGTCATAGAAGCCGCTAAAGATTATCAAAGTTGTGATAAAAATAAATACTGTAATCGCCAAGATATGCATAAACATTAAAAAGTAGAAATTTGTAAACATACCACAAATAGCAGATGTAGAAGGAACTAAGGTTAAAAATAAATTAATAAAAAATTTATATTGCATTTATCAGAAATATATATACACATATTAAGAAGTAAGAATTGTTAAACATACCATTCGTTGAACACGTGAATGTAGCTGAAATTCAAAATTTGTAATTAAAAATTAATATTGCAAATAATGACTTTGAAACTGGTTATTTTTGAAATCTCTTCACAGATCAAAAAGTACTAGCTGATTCTATAATTATTAGCATATTAACAAATACAAACTCACCTGTGATAGGCTGTGTAGATTCTACTAAAAAAAAAAAATTGTACACAAAATAATTTGAAATTGTCAACAAATGTAAATTTAGTTACAAATGTAACAGTCGTCAATTTTGTGCTGCTTTAAAATGTAATATAAACAATTAATTGTAAAAGTGATAGGCTGAATAAATAACATGAACAACGTATTAATCAATGATAGCGTCAAAAATGTTCATAAGAGTAATAATTTTATTTTACTGCACTTTGAGGGATAACACAATACTAATGCATTAAATAGTGTATATAAATATAAACAAAAATTAAAAAATCATTTAAAAACCATTTTTAAATCATAAATTTACCAGCAGAAGGTTGAACACATGAAACTAAAAACAAAAAAAGTTTCTTAAAAAATTTGCAATTGTTAAAAAAGGTGTGTTAACATTTGCAAATAATAGTTTTTAAACTTACTAGTTATAGTAGGTGCTGAAGATGTAACTAAATTTAATGAAAGTTGTGATTTAAAATAATTTCTAAAATTGCTAAGATATGCATAAACATATTGAAAAGTAAAAATTAGTTAACATACCTCTTATAGCAGATGTAGAAGGAAATTTATACTGCAGTCATCAAAAATATATACATTAAAAAGTAATAATTGTTAAATTTACCATTTGTTGATGTAAATGCGGAAATGCAATTTCGGAAAACATTAACAGAAGAAATGCCTTATATGACTTTTTTAGCGAGTGATGCTTCTTTAAAATTAACTGATAATTTAGGACCTGAAGTATGGAAAACGTATTCTTCATTAGGTCCTCAAGATATAAGTCAATTTGAACGTATTGCGAAAGAAAATAAATTTGCAGAATTTAATGCAAATTATGATGTAAAAGCTTTAAATGATTATAATCAAAGACAAAGAGAATTAGGTAATAGTCAATCTTTACGAAAAATATTAGATCCTCTTTATGGTAAACCGACAACACCTTATAAACACGATATTAAATCCATGCCCGTTTGTGAATATACTCTTTATTTTCAACGTATTGGAGCAAACGAAATTGAAAGTGTATTAAAAGATGTTCGACTTACTAATTCAAGAGCTCTTCAAATAGGACTAGAAAAAGCATTGAAAGGGTATAGCAGTATAGCTCAAAATCAAACATCGTTTAGAATTTGCTTTTCAAAAAGGTCTTACAACACCGACTCTTTCTCAATTGCGATTATTTTTAGTTATGAAAGATTTTGCTTTTGATACTGGTGAAAATGTAGACATGATTATTAATAATATAACAAATGATAATTTTAAACCTTTCGACGATAAATCTATAGTAATGCAAGAAGCAAATAATATTTTTACGCTTTTAAATTCGCACATTGGAGATCTGGGTAAAGCGAAATTATTTGAAAGTTTTAATTTACATTATTTACCATTTTCAAAAATGTTAAATGCAGGAATTGGTGGGACTATTATGTTTTGAAATACAACAGAATGGAATCTTGTTCAATTAGAACAAATTTAAGTCAAAGATGATTCTTTATTTGCTGTAAAAACAGCTTATGCAAGTGCAACACCTGTATCATTTTTTAATATAAGTCCAGACGCGAAACAAGCGCAAAAAATGGTAGATTTGTTAGAGCCTCCATTAAAAAGATGGGCTAGACGTATTGCGAAAGGTTATGCAACTACTACAGGTGAGTTTCAAAATTATTTTTTATCTGCAACAGATATAAAGGAATCTCGAGTTTTTAAACGATTTGAAGATTTGTATGATAATTATGATTTAGAACAATATACAGAAGAAACAGGCTGGTATATAGTTTATTTAATAGCGCATATGTTTTTTATTAAAAAACAACTTCCTTTTAAAACAGATTCAGAAGCTGCATATAATTATCAAAATTTTGTAAATCGTATTGAAAATAAAGAGTTTTTACAAAAAGTAATAAACGAATTAGATTATTTTTTCACTATAATTTTGATTTGCTTCTTTCCAATACACCTCTTCACAGTTTCGATAATTTCGTGCGCGCGCATTTTTAAATAGTTTGTTATTGTTCATTGTGCGCAGAATCGCATGAAAGAGTTTGATTTGTACTAATAAACTACAGAAGAAAGTCATTTATTTTAGTTAGTTTTTACTATTTTTAATTGTTTTAAACATGAAACCTCAAAGTTTGAAAAGAAAACGATCAATGGGATGTGCTGTATTTGATTGCAGCAGTAGCCAATATAATCTTGAGCTTTGGCGCAATGAATTTTGTGAGTTACACAAGGTCTTAAGAAGCAGTTTGACTTGCAGATGTTCGGAACCTTACAAGTATGTATACTACATATAATGTTATTTATCTAAAATTTAAACATCTGGCTAAACATGTATAAAGTGAATTAATGAATTAATGTTACATATTATGTGTAGACATTATGGAATAGGGGTATATAGTACCTATAATAATGTAATAATATCTGTATATAATAATATTATACACAGATATTATTAATATCTTCCTACAACATGTATAAAGGGAATTATATGTTACATATTATGTGTAGACATTATGGAATAGGGGTATATAGTAACTAAATAATAATGTAGGAAGATATTAATAATATCTGTATATAATAATATTATATACATATGTTATTAATATCTTCCTACATTATTATTTAGGTACTATATACCCCTATTCCATAATGTCTACACATAATATGTAACATATAATTCACTTTATACTTGTTTATATTATTAATATATTATATAATATTAATATTATTATATAATATAATACCTACATAGCCAAATAAAACATTTTGTAGGCCTAGGGCAAAACATGGTCTTAAGTAGCCTTAAAAAAATGACATGTAGTTACTTTCATGAAAATAAATACATACTATAGTATGTATTTATTTTCATAATATATGCCTTTTCATGCCTTTTCATGGCTAGTACTAGCCATGTATGGCACGCTGTTATTGATATGTAGGCATATATTGTATACCTTATTCCATAGTATGTCTACTTATATTTATACAATATGCCTATGTAATATGTCTACAATATTTCTGTATTTCTCCAATATATATACAAATTCTAAACAAAAAATTTATACACAAAAGATATTATATACCCCTATTCCATGACATATAAATATGCTTGAAAAAAGTCGAAGAAATTTGATTCGATTTTGTTATAGTTGTAATTATTAGCCATTGTTTCTCTTGTCTTTATATTGTTGTTGATGTAGATGGTATCCATCTATTATTAGTTTTTTTTTTTTCATGTCTTTATATTGTTGTTTATAGATGGTAACTGGTTATTCATCATCAGCTATAACCACATTTATATAAATTTTATATTCTGTAAAAAAAACCATGGGTTAGTGAGAACGACTGTGTTTAACTCATAATATAAGGAGTGTAAATCAGGAAATTCTATTAAAGATCCTGATAGATGACTTCTTTATTGTGATTTTTTTTACAGAATATAAAATTTGTATAAAAGTGGGGTATGACAACTTTGAATGCCCAATTGCTTGAAACTTATATAAAACTTATAAATAAATAATAATAAAAGATATATATATATATATATATATATATATATATATATATATATATATATATGTACTAAAATCATTTGTATTTATAAATTATAAGCTATAAATTTGTAATTGAATAAATTTTATCTTTTTAGATTATTTGTATTTCCAGTGGCAGCAACTAATCAACCGTCAAAGCCCTACACGTCGAAATAAATACTGCAAAATTGGAGCCAACCACAGAGTATGCTCTAAACATTTTGTTGATAGTGAACGATCTGTAGAAAATCCATATCCAATTATTAATCTTGGTTACGATTCATCCAAAAAAATCAAAACTATTTTAACTGCACAATCTCTACGATCGCAAGTAAATAAAAAATTAGAGTTAAATTGTGATTCTTTACCATCTTGTGCTTTGCAATCTTCTTCTGCAACATCATTTTTACCATTGAATTCAACATTAAAATCTACTAATGATTCCATTTTTTTCTTGTCATCATCAAATTTTAAAAATACAGAAGACAAAAGTTATGTAGATTTTTCTATTATTAATACATCATTGAAGGACTTACACAAAGAATCATTGCAAGACCTACATGATGAATCATTACAAGACATACACGATGAATCATTGAATGACTTACACGAGAAGATAAATTTGAAAAAAGATATTAAACAAACTATTTTGGATAGCAGTAGTAATGATCTCCTTGCTAATGACTTATTATTTGAAAATTTAAGATTAAGAAAAGAAAATGGTTATCTAAGGAGCAAAAACAAAGAATTTCGTAAAAAAGCAAATATGTTTGAGAAACTTTATTTAAAAAACTCTAAAGATATGTATACTTTGCATACACAAGTCACCAAGTGCATTTGTAAGCAAAGTGTTTCAAATCGCATTTTGAAAACAAATAGTGATTGTGACTTTTTTACTGGGGTTCAAACATTAGCAGAGTTTAAATCTCTTCATAATATCATTTCACCATTTGTTCGCAGGCGTTGGCGTGGTACACTAAACACTACTCCTATTTCAAGAAAGTTTAAAAAAGCACCAAAGCAATTTGGGCCTCTGAGGAAGCTGTTAAGCGAAGAAGAATTTCTTTTGTTTTTAATGAAAATGCGTCTTGGATTATTAAATCGAGATTTAGCTGAAAGGTTTAAGGTTTCAGAAGCTTTAATTAGTTCTGTAATATCTTCTTGGCTTAAAGCATCTTCTGCAGTATTATCCCCGATTGTTTATATTCCTGATAAAGGTAACATTGTAAATACTCGCCCAGATCGTTTTATAAATTACAAAAATCTGCATTCTATTATGGACGCTACAGAATTTTTTATTGAAACTCCCAAAAATCCAGATCTACAAAAGTTAACATGGAGTGAATACAAGCACCATAACACAATAAAAGTTCTTGTTTGTATAGCTCCTAATTCTTCAATAATGTTTTTGTCTCATTGTTATGGAGGATCTATCTCAGACAAAGCAATTACTAATTTAAGTGCATATCTTGACAAAGTTCCACCTCATTCTCAAATTATGGTTGACAAAGGTTTCCTTATTAAAAAAGAATGTGACGCTCGACACATTATTTTAACTATGCCACCTGGAAGAAAAGGTTCAGAGCAAATGACACCTTCTGAAATTGTTAGCACGCAAAAAGTTGCAAATCTAAGGATTCTAGTAGAACAAGTTATTCGGAGGTTAAAGACTTTTAGAATTTTGGCTGGAGAATATCCAATTAACATGATAAGATGTTTTGATGACGTAGTTACAGTATGTGCTGCATTGTCAAACTTACGGAAAACTATATACTTGTAATGAAATTATAGACTACTATTCTATTTGCGTTCGCTTTTAATAGTATACAAAAATAATAATTTATCTGTTATCTGCATTTGTAGTATAGGTTGTGTTAATAAACGTTGTATCTTAAATTATAAATGTTATCATTGTCAATATCTCGGAATATTTAAGAACTATTAAATAATATAACTCGAACCTCCGGTGGGACAAAGAAATTAGTTCAAGTTATCGGGAAATATTCCATTATAAAGGGTTGACAACAAACA